TACGGTGACGTCTCCATATGAAAGAAAAATTCTCGAGAAGAACGTTAAACAATAATAATTTAATTCTGCTATCAAAACGCATAACATTATAATCCATACAACCAGCTTGACATATTTTTCCATTTGCTTCAGTTTAATGAATGTACCTTTAACTTCAAACAGTTGCTAATAAAGCATCATGGCTGCTAGATCTATGTATCAGTTTTTACCTCCCCTTGCTTCCCATCACTTCCGTTACTACGGTTGTATTATTGCGCGGTAAATTTGAACTAATAAAAACAACATAATTTTACATCCCCAGTTGTTTAATTATTTTAAAATTAAATTATAAGGAATGACCCCCAGATTATCGAGTATAATATGGTTTGGGTCAGTTTACGCTTTTTTATAATCCGCTTCGCGGATTATAAAGCTGCGCATAGAATAAGCTATCAAATCTTATATCCATATTGACATATTTTATTTGCTTCAGTATACATGTATACATTTAATAATTCTACAAATTCAGGGGACACAAATTCTCTGAATAAGCTTGTATTGTTTAAAATTCAACCGACAATAAACTAAACTAAGAAAAAAAGAGTTTCTTTTTTTCCACGCGGGCGGCTAACTATTGGCCTTCTTTCCTTTCGAATAACAGTCGTTACACATAGGAAGCACAGTTTTATTCTGCTTTTTGAGATCCTGTGATGTTTCCCCATCTTCTACTCCACAATGACAACATGTGTCTTCTCTACCATGATCCCCACTGTAAAAGGGTACTTCAACAGTTGAGGAACACACGAGGTTTGATCTTGTCATCGCAACCCCATTTAGAATCTGATTTGGTGGTGTGATTGGTGCACCACATTTATACTTATATTCACTCATCATATTTACTAGGGAAACCCTTTGTCTCTCTGTTGAATCATGCTTTGAGTATAATGCTCTTGGTTTCCTGCATTCCACGAATGTGATAGTTGTGCGAGCATGCTGAACCATTGTCAGATGAAAATTGGCAAACTGTGGTTTTTCCATTACCTGAACATTTGGTCTCAATTCAGATCCACTGCGTCGGACATCCAACACCTCCAGATCAGTCTTATCTCTTTCATCAATTTCTCTGTTTTCTGCCACTATTGCTGTCTCTTGGTCCATCTCAGAATTTTTTCCAGATTTTTAGGTCACCTGAGTAAACTCAGGTGACCTATTGCTATCTGTTTTCGCCCGTCGTCGTGCGTTGTACGTTAACATTTGAACGTTTAGAGCTTCTCTGCAACCACTGAACCAATTTCAACCAAATTTGGCACAAAGCATCTATAGGTGAAGGGGAGCAAAAAATATGAATTTCATGATCCCTGCCCCCCTGGGGACTGAGGGGTGGGGCCAAAACCACTAAATTTAATGCAATCTTTAAAAAATCTTCTTCTTTACTCCTGAACATCAAGCAGTCAAACTGTTTCCATCATTGTAATCAACATTGAGTCCTCTACCAAAATTGTGAAATTCATGACCCTGGGGCTAAATAAGTATATAGTGAAAATGCATTATTTCTTTGAAAATCTTCTTCTCTGCTCTTGGGTATTAAAATAGACTAAGTACGTGCATAGTCATGATGAGCAAGAAAGCCTCTACCAAAATTGTGAATTTTATGGCCCCAGGGTCAGGGGTTCTGGTGTTGGATGGGGCTCTATTGATTATATAGTGAAAATACATAAATTCTTTGAAAATCTTCTTCTCTGCTCCTAGGTATTCAATAAACTAACTAAGTACGTAGTTATGATGAGCAAGAGTGCCTCTACCAAAATTGTGAATTTTATGGCCCTGGGGTCAGGGGTTCTGGTGTTAGGGCGGCGCTCTATTGATTATATAGTGAAAATACATTAATTCTTTGAAAATCCTCTTCTCTGCTCCTAGGTATTAAATAGACTAACTAAGTACGTAGTTATGATGAGCAAGAGTGCCTCTACCGAAATTGTGAATTTTATGACCCCAGGGTCAGGGGTTCGGGTGTTAGGGCGGGTCTCTATTGATTGTATAGTGAAAATACATGAATTCTTTGAAAATCTTCTCTGCTCCTAGGTATTAAATAAACTAACTAAGTGCATAGTTATGACGAGCAAGAGTGCCTCTACTAAAATTGTGAATTTTATGGCCCTGGGGTCAGGGGTTCTGGTGTTAGGGCGGGGCTCTATTGATTGAATAGTGAAAATACATGAATTCTTTGAAAATCTTCTTCTCTGCTCCTAGGTATTAAACTAAATAAGTGCATAGTTATGATGAGCAAGAGTGCCTCTAACAAAATTGTGAAATTTATGGCCCTGGGGTCAGGGGTTCTGGTGTTAGGGCGGGGCTCTATTGATTATATAGTGAAAGTACATGAATTCTTTGAAAATCTTCTTCTCTGCTCCTAGGTATTAAACTAAATAAGTGCATGGTTATGATGAGCAAGAGTGCCTCTACCAAAATTGTGAATTTTATGGCTCCAGGGTCAGGGGTTCTGGTGTTAGGGTGGGGCTCTATTGATTCTTTCAAAGTAGTTGCTGAGAAAACTGCGACCAAAAATTGGTTACAGACCGACAGACAAACGGAGCGGGGTTAAAAAAATTGTTGAAATTTTCTAAAAAAAAAAAAAAGGTTTTTCCACCTAGCTACCGACCCAGTTATTATACCCTGAGTCGGGACAGGGCATTCAAACATTTTGAAGGTGGCCCTTTAGATGTTTTAAGAGTTGATCTTTATATGGCGGATTCGAAGACCGCTATGGAATCTGGAGCACTGAAATATCCCGTACTGCTGTAAGGTATGAAGAATCTTAATTTGCAGCCTTCCATCGAATGGATAAAAAAGTCAAACAATTTGCACTTGAATTTAATAATAAAATCGCCTGGTAACATTTTTTAAAAGTAATTCCATACAAAAAGAAAATCAGACTTTGTCTTTCATATAAGTACATAAAAACATTTTATCATTCACCAATAAATTTTAAATATATTCTCTCAATAGGGTAAAATTTACTTTCGCTGGGTTCTTATTTCTGTCATATTGGTATCGCTTACAACCCTGAGTTTAAAGGAGCTACAGAAACAAACGATTCATTAAAGCGAGAGGCCCAGGAGCTACATCGCTCACCTGGGCACTGTGGCTAGGAGAAAAGCAGAAATCAGCTCTGTATTGAAAAGTTGAAATCCATAAGTGGTCCCAATCTACCCTTACAAGGGAGGGGGCTATGCTTTGAGCAAACTTGAATCTACGCGGAGTAAGGATGCTTGCTCATTTCCTTGAATAATTGTAGCTTTTTATCCTTAATTAAAGAACTAACACTGAGGTCAAACCCTACCATGATTTGAACAAACTTGAATCTACACGAACTGAGGATGCTTGCAAATTTCTTTGACTAACTGTGGTTTTTTACCCTTAAATATTAAACTTTCTCTGGGGTCCCACACTACATCTCCCAACCATGATTTTAATCTACACAATATGGGGATGCTTCCATATAGATATGACTATTCATAGCTGTATTGTTCTTGAAAAGGAGATTTTTCAAGTTTTTTCCTGTATATATATTCCTATGTTCGACTTTGATCGTCCCTTATGGCCCCGCCCTACTTCCCAGGGGTTATGCTTTTAACTTAAATAATCGTGGCTTTGCTGTTCTTGAAATTGATTGATAGTATATTGTTTAACGTCCTTCTGCAGAATTTTTCACTCATATGGAGACGCAACCACTTACCGATGGAGAGCTGCAAATTTTATCCTATGCTCGTAACTCGGGGCCATTGAGCAGGAAGGGATCTTTTTCGTGCTAGAACCTACTGCGACACGGGACCTGGTTTATACAGTCTCATCCGAAGGACCGATCTTCACGTCCCAAAGTGGGATTCGAACCCGCGATGTAAGGATCAATTCCGTACTTCGCAACTCTACAGCAGACGCTCTAACCACTGTGCCACGCGGACGACGCTGTTCTTGAGAACAAAATCTTTCCTATATATATATTTCTATGTAAAACTTTGATCGTTCGTTGTGGCCCCGCCAAACCCCAGAGGTTATCATGATTTGAACAAACTTGAATCAACACTACTTGAGGATGCTTCCATATGAATATGACCAATCATTGGCTTTGATGTTTTTGTGAGAAAAAAAATCTTGAAAGATTTTTTATGAAACTTATGAAGATGACTAGTATTCAACATCAAAAGTCCATAAAACAATACAAAATAGGAGCAGGGTATCTCGGACCTCCAAAATATTAGAGGTGGGATCAGGTGCCATCATATATATTTCTAAGTAAATATTTCATCGTTCCATGTGACCCCGCCCACCCCAAGGAGTCATGATTTGAACAAATTTGAATCTACACTACCTGAAGATGTCTCCCGATATGTTTAATCTTTCCTGGCACAGTGCTTCTTCAGAAAATTTTAAAATCATGCCACCCAATTTTCACTAATTCTGAATGATCTCCCCTTGAATGAGGGATTGACTCTCCATTGAATCTCCTTTACCCAAGGATGCTTTGTTTGTGGCTTGTTTGGTTAAAATTGACCAAGTGGTTCTGGAGAAGAAGTCGAAAATGTAAAAAGTTTACATACAGACCGACCTACTACTGACAGAATGTTATCAGAAAAGTTCACTTGAGCTTTAAGCTCAGGTAAGCTAAATATGCACTTTAAAAAGTCTAACAAATCTGAGTGAACGACTATAGTATATGAAATAATGTAAACAAAGGGTTGTCAATGTGTTCGATAGATAAAATAGACGTTTTTTAATATATATTATACGTACTGAAAGTGATATTGAGCAGACAACCGGCGATGAAAGTACAAGTCCCCAACCCTCGAAAAAAAAATCCCCAATGTTATTATTATTCAATTTGCGTGCTCTTCAAAGGAATGGGTAAAATCAGTTTCTATGATGTAGATGTTTCAATGATTTGGATGAAGTTTTTTTTCTGTTTTATTTTAACAAAAGAGACTGTTAACAAATAATACTCTTTACTTTTGCAATAAGTCGAGGTACTGATTAAAACTGCACAGCTTAAATGAAATACAAGACTGTACTGGACATTCACTTGGTATGGAAAAAATGCTAAATTAAAAAATGTCATATTTACATAATTTAACTCAATGTCCAAGGCATCATTACAAATTTGTTTGACTTGTTTCTTCTTTCCGAAAACAAACAGACATATTCCCATCTGTGTACGGGACAAGCATAATTTTTCCTTGTGAATAAACTCTTTCGTGTTGAATGTTTCTTTCTATGCTTCTGGAACTCGTTGAGTCCGCGGTAGGTATTTTTCCCGACTGATAAGAGAAGTACCGAGATGGATAGAAGTAGGGTTTACATGTTATTAAGCACTTAAAACCATGACGATATTTTTTGCTGTAGAAGCAATAAATTATAGGATTAACTCCACTGTTACATAATCCAAGCCACTGACTGACGGGTATAATGATTTCAAATAACAGATTAAATTCACTACTTTGTGGGCTTGGTGGATAGAAGTACAATTTGAAATATATCACATATAACGGCAACCATGAGAGAGCAAAGATACTTATTACTATTCCAAACATCTTGATGACTTTGATCTTGGATTTGTGAATAACACCACTATAGCAAGTATTGGAGACACCAGGGGCATGCCGGCGCCAAACACGGATCGTTATGGAAGTGTAACATACCATGATAAGAATCAATGGCAATGCATAACACAACAAGAACAGTCCAACAACAAAATAAGACCTTTGGATGTCGAAGTTTGGCCATAGTTGATGACACATGGGTATTATCTGAGACCCTGTATCCGATTCATAAGCCTCGTAAAATATGACGACCGGAAGTGATAAAGATATGGCAACAATCCAGATACAACCGATAGCAACTCGGGCCGCAGTTTTGGAAATTTTCGACAACCATGTGTTGCAAATTGCCATGTACCTAAATAGAATATACAATGAAATATGTATAAAAATATATATAATTTCTCAAATAAAGTGACATACGGCGAGAATTTTAAAGAGTTAAGTACATGTAAACTTGGTTTTAGAAAAAAAGTTTTCTTTTCTTTTTCCCTCCAATTGGCCTCTAGTATGAATATAAAAATTTCGAATTCTTTTTTGCAAGTCTCATCTTTAATTCGGTTTGCAAGTTTCTAAAATCAACCCGAGAATGCCGCGGAATGAGGCGGCGAATTCCCAGTTTTAAAATTAAGTAATAAAGACGGTTCTGACGTTTCCTGGTACGTTAAATATCTAAATCGTTAAAAAGCTTGGAAAATGTCAGATATTTCGGACTTAGGACCGGCCTAAAACGGCTAACTAAAGACGAAACAGGCGAAAACACAAAAAAACATACTATATAATAATCATTTAAGTGCTATCGCTTATGTTACGTCCTATTTAAATAAGGTTGAATAAATTGAAATTCCATTTGAAAGACAAATCATAAACCTTATGAAAAATTTTATATTTATAACTACGGATTTTAAATGTGTTTAAGAAATGCGAACAATTAAAGAAAATGTAGAATTGGTAGAAAGAGTTTGCTTTTCAACATTTTTTTTTACTTCCCCGCCGGATTTCTTCGAAATTTCTAACGTTCTCCGGGGTTAACTATTTTGATATTTTACATGCCAGGAAAACGTCAGAAATTGTGCCATTAGAAAAACTGGGAATTCGCGGCTTCCAGCCGGAGGCGGATTCTAGGGTTAATTTACATGTAAGATACTTGCAAACCGATTTAAATGTCAAACTCACGAGTTGGCGAAAGTTAGTATTTTTAGTACTACTGTAGATTCCTAATTATACGCGAGGAATTAATTTCCGCGTAATTTCGCGAGAAGCATCACTCGCGAAAAAATATTACACGCTTTTATTTTTATAGTGCTGAAATCTATGTAAAATCTGTTGATCAACCGTCCATTCGCGAATTATAATTCTCGCGATTTGACGTTTAAGAGCCAGTTCGCGATAGAAAGTACTCGCGAAAAATAAGGAATTTACAGTAACCCAGGCACGTAGCAACAGGTGGAGCCCCCCACTTTTTTTTTCCAACATTTAGGAAATGTTTAATGAAAGCCCCTCCCCCCCTTTATACTACGGGAAATTGATATAAGGGAAATGAATAGGTGAATAGGAAAAAATTGATACTGAAAGAAATTAGCATCGAAAAAAGCATCGAAACCCCCCCCCCCCCAAATAGGATTTTCGAGTTTTAGGCAATGTCCTTTTGTTTGTTTGTTTGTTTTTTTTTTTGTTTTTGTTTTTTTGGCTTGTCAACTTTTTCAAGTAAGTAAAAAAAATTTCTCTGACTGCCCCCCCCCCCCCCCCCATTTTCAAGAACGATGCTACGTGGCTGCTAACCAACATCGCTCTTATGGTTCATTTTTTGTACATTATACAAATCCGATGAAAACATTTTATCAGACTATCGAGATTTGTTTTCATTTCATGCATTTTAAAATCTTGCAACTCCTGTATCGAAATGTGGATCGATATTCGTGCGTACTAGAAACATGCTTTTGATAAATTCTAATTTCGGCATTCAGTTAGATCCGCAAGTATAAAAATCAACTCCTGTCGAAAGTTTTTATAATGGCGCCGCTTCTGACGTATTTCGGGCATGTCAAATATTAAAATCGTAAAAAAAAAAAAAAGCCTGGAAACGTCAGAGATTTCGGACTACAGTCATTTCTAACCGAGGAGATCGGCACACGCCGGCGAACATTACTCGGTAATATGGGGATTTGTCAAACTGGTGTTCGCCGAATACGCCGCTTGACCTTTGGTTACCCGACTTGTTACTTTATTTGACTTTGAAAGGTTCGCCGGCGTAAGCTTATCTCGTTGGTCTGAAATGACAGGCGAGGAATTAACCAGTCATAGGATTACATTACAGGAAGATAGAACAACTGTGGAAATGCAGATACTTTTTAACAATTCGACATGTTCTTTAAATATTTGCATATCTTAAACATATCATTAATTTAAAATCTAATGTAAATTCTAAAAATATAAAATTTTCATGAAGTCCATGATTTTTTTTTTAATTGAATTTCGAATTATTTAACCCCTTTTCACTAAGCCATAATGTAAAAAAGGATAGAACATAGTTAACTGATAATTATAAAGCATAATATTTTTTTCGCCGGTTTATTTTATTTGCCACTTAATCCTTTCCCGTCAGTTCTATGACCGGCCCAATTCGGTCTACGCCGTACGTATACTTTGACAAATAAAATTGGCCCCATATGTAACAAGCTGGATTACCAAAGGTCAATAGAGGCGTTCGGCGAACGCCGGTTTGACAATTGAAGTCCAACCAATATGAGCTTCAAATCAAATTATTGTAGTGTAACTTCGTATATAAATCCGATTTCCACCGCCTGAATATATTTTGATAATAAAAGAAAGATTTGTAGTGTCCTGTAGGGGAGAATAAGATTGCTTCAGGGAAAAAAATGTTCTTTAGCATTTCAATACATTAAAGAGGAGAATTTATGTATAGAGAACATAATTTACCATTGAACGAGTTTCCTTAACCATCGACCAGTTGAACTTAAATATGGATGTTTTTTTTAAATCAGTAATGTTCTTATTCTTCTCAAATAAAGAAAAAAAATGTATAATTTCATTTCATTCATTCGCTGAATTGCAAAAAAAGTCTTCCATCTCCAATATCAATCTTTGACTACGAGAATAACATTGATGAAAGGGAATTGTTGACGTGAATACATGTATATTTGAGAAATCGAGTTTTTTTTCCCCCGGTTCTTCATCATGTTATAGCTATTTAATGTCGGAAATGTGATTCAAGTAATCGTATCATCTAAAATTCATCTAACGACGTTGACTAATTAAGAAAAAAGAAAACTTGCAGGGTTTCCCCTGTAAGGGTGTTTTTATCACTTGCAGAGTATTGTAAGAAAAATAAAGCGATTGCTATCCAATCCCTTTGACTGTTGAGATGAAAAAGTCTTTGTATCCTTTGGCTTATTAGCAGTCGCATATCTGTTATTCTGAATTGCCTTCGAATGGCTCAGAAAGAATAGTTTAATTTCTACAGTGCTCTGCGAATCAATATTACGAAGGTGTGTATAAAGGGGTTTTTTTTTTTTTGTTAAACAGCATAAATAATTCATGAATGGAGGGGGCATTTTAATACGAATGTTCCCTTGATTTTAAAATTGCAAGAAAATAAAGCTTACCTTATTTAATATTTATTGTTGTTAATATGCTTTAAAGCAATATGAGCTGCATTTTTAAAAATTTTATTCTGCTCTTAAAATGTGTTAAAATGATAAATTTGTATTTAACTTAAACCTTTATGATCAATTTGACTAAAATAAAGCAGAAGAAAGACTTCTATTTACAATCCAATATACAGATTTACATAAGAAATCATTATTGTACAGGACGACAAAAATGTAATTTTTATTCAAACGAAGCTTATTAACACTTCTTCCATCGCAAATATGAACGACAGACGTTTATTAACGTTATTTTTTCTCTCATTGAAATAGTTATTTACAATTTTACAACAAACAATTCTGACATCAAAGTTGCAGCTCATATTGCTTTAAGATATATTGTGCTCTAGTTAAAAATATTTAAAATTAATAAACCGCGTTGATAAAACAGACATTTCAAACTGGTAGTCAATGACAAGCACACACCAGCAACAAACACCTGTCACGTTAGTCTAGTATAAAGGCGTTCGCTTCCTGAACGGGAGGCCAGGGTTCGATTCTCGTTAACCATACTCTAACGGTACCTTTGCTGATCGTCTGACATTAAAAGTGAAAGCCACGAATCATTTGGATAGTACCTCAAAAATGAAAATCCAGTGTCTCGGTAGACGTTGACATAATTTTAAAAAAACTTCACTGCTCAATTGCCCTGAAGTATAGAACTACTTCTAAAGCCTTCTATCGGTATTTTAAATATGAGTAAACGAAATCTTGAATGGGACTAAAACTACATACAGTCATCTTTACCAATCCTCCGAACAATGAGAAACCAAAATACGTTAAATTTACTAAATTTTGCAAACACGCAAAGAAACGCCTGCACTGGAGTACTGACTCCTCTACTGTCCGTAACTTTTACTAAGATTAACTGAAATAGTAATTATTGTAAATTTAAATAAAATCTTTTTTCGCTATTAATAGGTCGCCATGAAATCAATCGCATCTTCTCAGGCCTTTCAGGTAATCTTGTAAAAACTGGAAACACATTTACATCACTGAATGATTATAAACTTTTAGAATGTATCTGACTCACCAAATGCAGTGGCTTGCTATTTAAAGAAGTGTTGTATTGACGGAGGTGCAACTCTTTTTATGGTATATTTTAGGTTATATCAAAATAAAGCTCCATACTACAGATAAGGTTCGTCCCTTTTATTTTTTTTTCTGTAGGAGGGGGATGCTTTTGTTTGTCCCCCTTTTTTACTCATATGGTCACGTCACCACTTACTGGTGGACAGCTGCAAAGTTCAACCTATATTAGGCACTCAGGGCCATTGAGCAGTGAGGGATATTTTTCGTGCCAGCATCTACGGGACCTCGGATTACACGTTTAAAGCTGAACAGTACTCGTAAAAATGCATAGTCAGCCATATTTCCCGTTCTTCAACGCTCTCCCTACAACCCCTAACCCCTCTATAAAGAGCAGATCGCTTATCAGTTCAATGTATTTCGCTGTAGAGATCCGACGAGTGTAGACGTACATCTTACACTGCCGTGCCACTTGGTCGCGATGAAATTATCAAATTTTATGTATTTTTTCCAAAACAGGACAAAAATGTCATGAAAAATACAGGTCAATACATTATTTACAAACAAAAAATGCACAGGAAAACAACGAATAAACGCAAAATATCTAAGACCACGAAATGAGTACTACATGTCGACGAGTTTCGAGTGTGCAATCGGGTGT